GAGAATTGAGTATCATTAATTTGAATTGCTACTAGTTAAAATGACATTGTGCATATGGTATTATGACATGTTGAAGTTGTTAAGTACAGACATCTACGATTCAGTTTGAGCACTAGTCACTGAAAAAAAAGTTGATAAGTTGTAATTAAGTTAAAGATATCTGACAAAGGACATTTTCATAATTTAGAAACACATTTTTAATAACAAGAATTAACATTGTGACCAGTGAAACTGGGTTTGAAAACAGAGAAGTAAGGGAAGTGGCATTCCACCAATCAAGATTATTTTTGCCTTGTCTGGAAAGAGAGCTTAATAGAAAAAGCATATTGAAATGTCAAAACCTCCCATTATTCATCAATAATAGAAGAAAAAAAGAACAACCATGTTGGTTCCTCTTTAGCCAGACTGGCAGTCATAGTCATAGCTATTCTCAGCCACTTATTCCTTTAACTCTTAGCAGTAATGATTTTATGAACTGAACTAAATCTACCATTATGTTCCCAAATGAAACTGGACATTGCCAGTGGGTGCATTGTTGTCAAATTTGGTCGGTAATTATCTTAATTCATCTCCAATATCTTAAACAAAACTTTCCATAACATTAACTGTACAGGCTTACGAAAAAGTGAGCATGAACAGCTTTTGTATAGCTTAGCTTGGCCAGCAAGGCTTAGCACAGCATCATTGCTGAGCTAGGCCTTGTGATGCCAACTCTCATGATATGATACACATATGCAGCATCAAAAACAATATATTAGTATATATTAAAGGTCCAGTGTGTAAGATTTAGGTGAAAGAGAAATATTGGCAGAAATTTAATGTAGAATAATCCTCATGATGTTTTCACTAGTTCGTTTCTTCTAAATTGTATGAATTGTAGTTTTCTTTACCCCAGAAAAGGTCCTTTATATTAAATACTTTATATTTACATGGAGGGGACCCTCTCTACGGACGCCGCCATGTCTTACATTAGTCCAGACTGGACAAACTAAACACCATTTGGGTTTTTATGACAATTAAAGGCTACCACAGTTTTTTTTTTCATGATATTACGACATGTCATTAACTTTGTGTTTTCTCTCTTCCATATTAATATTAGAGTACGTCCGGCATGGGTGGCAGCCTGCCAGAGACTCTCCACTTGTCTGTTTTTCACTTTTTCTTACATTAAGTACTACTACTGGTTTTTCTCAAACACCCACAGTTGCAAGTTACATGATCTGCCAGTATTACAATGTGGTTTTGCACATTATTTTTTCTTGGAGTACATATTTGTTAACATGATCACCAGTTAAACTGGAATGAAGGAGTTTCAGCCATGGCTGCAAGAAGAATTGTGCAACCCTGGACACATCACAGTGAAGAAACATGTGTGCAGCCAATAGTTAGCTGTGCGTCCCAGAGAGTTTTCTTAGGCCACTGTTTTTGCTGTTTACATCCCTCATATTATTAATGTGTCGCTGGCCTCTGACATCATCATCTCAGTGACTGCGAGACTCTAGACCCTGCACCCTAATGCCTTTCATAGCCATCTTTGGGGATTTTAACCATGTTACCCTGACAACACTTTCAAGCAGTTTATAGACTGTAAGAAAACAGATCTCAGACCTCAACCTGTTGTACCTCAAGCTCCTCTACATTCCTGCGGTTTTATGGAAACTAGTGATCACCAGAGCTGCGTGACGGAAGGTCTCATGAAGCTGATCAGACTGACAGGCTGAGCTGAGGTGACTGACTGGGATGTTTTATGAAATGCACATGGGGAGGATATAAACAAACTCACAGACTGCATTATAGATTATGTTCATTTCGGCAGTGACACTGTATTACCCACAAAGAATGTAGGCTGTTTAATAAACCCAGGGTATCTAAGGACATCAAGGCATCACTCAACAAGAAGAAGGGTTCCTTCAGGAACAGGGACAAGTATGAGAGGAAGAAGGTTCAGATTGAAATGAGGGAAAAGATTGCAGAGGGCAAAGACTGTTACAGGAGGAAGCTTGGAAGGACCTGTCAGATCCCAGTCACCGTCAAAGGATAAGTGGGGGGCGTTATCAAGGAGTACAGGGCGTCCACATAGATAATAATCTGGACTGGTCCAGGTCAGAACCAAGTGTTTTTTTCTCAGGATGCTCAGGTCTCTCAATGTCTGCAGAACCTGTGAAGAACCTAGGAGCTCTCTTTGATGAAGATCAGTCATTTAACCAAACTTCCAGAACAGCTTTCTTTCATCTGCGTAATATAAAGAGAATCAGACACATCTTGTCAAAACAGGATTCTGAAAAACTGATTCATGCCTTTATTACGTATAGGCTAGACTACTGCAACTCCCTATTATCAGGATGTCCCAGCAGATCCTTAAGAACCCTTCACCTAGTGCAGAACGCTGCTGCACGAGTATTGACAGGAACCAGAAGACAAGATCACGTTACTCCTGTCTTAGCTTCACTTCACTGGCTCCCTGTTCAACAGAGGACCAACGCGTCCTTGGAAGACCATGCCAACGTCCATGTGGAGATTCCCGGGCTGTTTTGCCCATGACCTGAGACTGTGACTGCACCCCCCCCCCCCTTTATTTCCTTTTGTTCCCCTATTTTTTTTCTCCACTCACCCCAACCGGTCCTGGCAGAGGCTGTCCACACCAAGCCCGGTTCTACCAGAGGTTTCTTCCACCTGGGAGTTTTTCCTCCCCACTGTTGCTCATGCTTGCTTGGTGTGGAACACGTTGGATTTCGTCTTTTTAAAGATCTTGGACTTTTGTGCAGCACCCTGAGACAACTGTTTGTTGTGATACCGTGCTATATAAATAATTTTGATTGATTGATTGATCTCCTATATAACTTACTCTTATTTATGCTTGTCTTACTCTCATTCCTATTTATATTTACAATTAGGCAATGGTACTGCATTACTCAGTGTACACTTTATATATTGTTTTCATTTACAATATAATTATACTTTTTTTATTTTATTTTATATTTTTAAACTTAAAGTTTCAGTGTCTAGAATTTAGTGACATCTAATGGTGAAGTTGCATGTTTTAGCTGAATACCCCTCACCTCATCCACCCTTTCCAAACATGAAAGAGAACCTGTGGTAAACTTCAGTTGTCATAAAAACTCAAAAGGTGTTTAGTTTGTCCAGTCTGGACTACTGTAAAAAAACATGGCGAACTCTGTAGAGACGACCCCCTTGATGTAAATATAAAGTATTTAAATATAAAGGGTTCATTCTAGTGTAAAGTAAACAACAATTTGTACACTTTAGATGAAAAAAATTAGTAAAAACATGACTAGGAAATTTATATTCAGTTTCAGCCAATAGACCTAAATCTTACACACTGAACCTTTAATTCTTCAATCACTATATTGTATTTTATTATATATTGTATGCTAACTGTAATCTTGGAGATCAATTTCTTTCTGGATTAATACAATCTTATGTTATCATGTTATTATTATTATTACTATTATTATTATTATTATTATGTTAACCAGTGATGTGCTTGTACTCACACTGTCAGTGAGGTCGAGGTCACAATCAGCATCTATCAGCAGCCGTACAACTTCGATGTGATTATTGAACACAGCCATGTGGAGTGGCGTGTTCTGTTGCTGTATCAAACACAATAATAGAGAAAAGGGTTAATTTTTTATGTATATAGGAAAAGATAAATGGTAGCACTTTACTATCAACTCCCCTCTTAAACTTTGACAATCAGGACATATAGTGTAGAGCACACACACACACACCACTCTGATTGTGCCTATAGTGTAGTTGTGTGAGCAAGAGGGGGTGAGAGTTGTGTCATAAACAGCTGTTTCTATTATGTGCCTCCCTCCAGTCAAGAATAATTCAAATAGTTCAGTCAAAAGGAGAGGATAAGGATATAAGGATACCTGAAGCAGAAACAAGAAATTCCATTTTCAGTGGAAAATTATTATGTATTATTAAGGACTCTATCACTGATGTCACCTCCTCCAATGATTTATTTACAAACAGAGAGGCTCCATTTCATGATAGATCTGCATTTGAAAGTTGAAAATGTGTATACATTGACTGTATGCATGCACCAGTTTGAAATCTATAACTGTTAACTTTGAAAACTCATGCACAGATCTTGCCACTAACTAGTAGCACATTTGAACAAATTCCCTACATTTATCACACACTTTAATTTATATAATCTAAACGATTAAATGCATGTGCTCCATCATTTAAAACCACATTTAAAATTTTTACAAATGCTCTACAGCAGCGATAGCCAACCCGTCGACTGTGGAGATCGACCACGACCGGTTGCACCGTAGACCAGCTGTGTGTCGGTTGTCTGTTGTTCACAGAGACAGTGTGAGCTGCATGTATATCTCCTGCATTTCATTCAATACAAGTCGGATTATGTACTAAACTAAATGTCAGGACTCTACGGTATGAAGACCTGCCTCTTCCGGTCTTGCGATAACAATCAAAGTCACGTTAGAACAAATTAATGGATTTACAAAGTGAAACGCTGTGGCTCATAAGAGGGTCATCCACTAACTAGAGGGTCGGCAGTTCCATCCCAGTCTCCCTCATACATTGTGCCAAAGTGTATGAACGTGTGTGTGAATGGCAAAACTGTGCTGTGAAGCACTTGAAGGGGTCATCAAGCTAGAAAATAAATTTGGACCATTACAATGGAGGCTGTGATTCTGGAGGAAGAGCAGTTCAACCACTATTCAGTGGTTCGACCTACCATTCCTCAAGTCTAATACTGAACCCCAAATTGCCCCTGATGGCTGTTCCATTACTGTGTGAATGGGATATATGTGACTTGTGAAAACCAGGTATACGTTTACCCCCCACCAGTTAGCAGGTCATTGAGGTCCTATGAGTCAAGGTGTGAATGGCTGTTGATAACAGTAAATCGTAGACCCACCCTGAAAAAAAAAAGGTACCAGGATATAGAACAGTCGTCCTATGATGGACAGTAGCTAGCTGTGACATAAAACTGTCCTGATGAGTATGCCTGTGTTCTACTCTGTTGAGCAGTGGAGGAGATTGATCAGAAAAAAAGAACCTTATTGCAGTGCTAACCACTGTACCATTTTGCAGCCTTCATGTAAAAATTATACCTTTGAATGCTCTCTACATTGTAAAATAAAACAAAAATGCTGCAAGGATTAACACATTCTTAACATTTTTTAAAACTAAAAAGAAACAAGACCCACAACAGTTGACATTACTCACATTGTCTATGGCATTGATATGGATTCCTGCCTCCAGAAGCAAACTGGCCTCTCTGTAAAAGCCATGCTGAGCTACATAATGGAGAGCATTCATATTCTTCTGCAGATAGACAGAAACAAAGGTTGACATTTTCATAGCATCAAAATATTTTTAAATCCTCAATAACCTGTTGTGTTTGTTATACATGATATAGAGTATGACAATAATGGAACAAACCGTACATTTGTTTGTGCATTTACATTACAGCTGGACTCAATGAGCAGTTTGACACATTCATAGTGACCTCCATCAGCTGCAAGGTGAAATGCTGTGAGACCATCCTAAAACAAAACAGGTATATTTCAGTCAGTACTCTGAAACCTTTTGCAGGTCTTAAACCAGGGGCGAGGAAGCTCTAGCCTCCTCCGCCTATAATTGGTCAGGTCTCATTCTTGGTGAACAAAATACAGACATAGCTGTTTAATTTTTTTGCTTTATTTGTGGGGATGAGTTCACAGTGATGAAAAAGGTGAATCTCAAGCATAATCTTGAAAACAAGCTAAACTGGAAGAGTTGCAAGGACAAATGGTCTTGCATAAAATTTAAATTCCTTGCCAGAGTTTGGCATTCACAAGACCACATTACGAGAGACAATGTTACGCAGGCAAGTTTTGTAATGAGTAATTTAAAAGAAGAAACTGCAACCTAATATAGAAGGAGAATCTGTGAAGGAGCCCTATTGCTGGAACTGTGACCAGTTCTATGCAAAACTGACTCCAATGACCCAAACTATGAAAACAAGCATCATGAAACACATTGTCAATGAGAAGCTGTTCCAGCCATCACAATAGAGAGGTTTCTTTAATATTTTTTCAATATACTTAGGTCCATGAGGAATTGTAATTATTATTTAAAATGGCCTTTGAAAGGAGAAGGTTCCCCTTAAGCCATATACTCTCAGGATCACTTTGGTCAACTGACTTTTCATTATCAGGTGTTGGTAATTTGATTTACATTCTTTCCAAATGTTTGCCAGTTAAAATCAATTCAATTTATTTTTATTTGTGTAGTGCCAAATCACAACATACATAATGTCAAGGCACTTTACATAGTAGAGACCTTACAATATTAAATTGAAACCCCGACAGTTCCCACAAAGAGCAAGCACTGGGCGACTGAAGAGAAAAACTGTGAAGCTGTCAAGTTTGCTTATGTTTTGAATGGTTGGTTTGACAAAACAAGTAAACTAAAAGTATATAATGGGCTCAAAAAATGTGATGAATTATTTGTACGAAATTCTGTCATTTTACAAACCAAGAGATAAAAGAAAGTAGTAGAAAATAGGATAAAACTGGTTTGTGATGGTCTCTCTCGCCTCTCTCTCCCCCTCCCAACTATCGCCCTCTCTTCACTCCCCTCTTTTCCACCCATCTACCCTCTCCTCCCCATTTTTCTCTGCTCACCCCAACTTGTCGAGGCAGATGACCGCCCACATTGAGCCTGGTTCTTCTAGAGGTTTCTCCCTGTTAATGAGGGAGTTTTTCCTCCACAGTCTCCAAAGTGCTGCTCATTGTGGGAACTGTTGGGTTTCTCTATATTAATATGATTTTAAGGTCTTGACCTTCTATGTAAAGTACCTTGGGATAATGTATATTATGATTTGGCGCTTTACAAATAAAATTGAATTGAATTGAATATTCAATACACACTTATACATATCATCTTTGTTGACATTCTTCCGTTAAACAATACTCAGATGACTACTACTATTTTCTCCAGGTGATTGATGTTGTGCTTAAACTCTAGCCTCACAATATTTGCTTTTCACTCAATAGTTTTGACCTTATACCTTCCTCCTGTTCCTAGGTGAGTATATTATAAAGACCTGCAGGCCTAAGCCTGTACCAACAAGACTGTGCCTAAATATGTGCCTCTATTCAGATGGACAAAACAGGGCTGCCCTCTATCTCCCCTACTTTTTGATGTTGCCATTGAGCCCCTTGCATCCCTAAGAAATTACGTTGGCATAAAAGGTATTGCCAGAGCTGGACAAAAACCCTAGACCCCAATAACAAAAAAGCTAAAAAAACTAATCTCAGAATTTTGAAAGTAACCACAATATATAATTAATATGACAAAGAGTAGAATTTTTCCAATAAACAAAAAAGCGAACCAAATTTAATTTGTTACCCATTCACAATTAGTAGAGTAAGTACAATTTACTTATCTAGGTGTGACAGTAACAAAAACGTATGAGGACTTATTTCAACTGAAATTTAAACCAGCCTTCATAAAGGCCAAGCAGGATATGGAGCATTGGTCAACTCTTCCCCTGTCACTAGCAGGAAGAATTAGTTCAGTTAATATGACGACCATGCCTCGAATTCTATCAAATATTCCAACATTTAATGCCAAGTCATTTTTTTAGAGAACCTGATAAAATTACTTGTTTATACATTTGAAAGAAGAAGATACCATGTAAAATAAAGAAATTATTGGAAAGGCAGAGGGAGTATGGGGGGCTGTTCCATTCCAGATTACATGCATTATCATTGATTGACCAAAATCTTTCGGCAAATATTTTGGATCAGGACTCTAGATGATAAACAGGTACCCCTCTAGGCTCTTATGCAAAACAATACTGCAGCCCAATATCACTGAACTTTGCCATCGGTGCCCCGCCACTTCAGGATCCAATGTAAGTGCAAATAAGGCCTCCCCATGGCCTCTATTTCAGCTAATGCTCTAGTGGGCCAGTAGGCCTAGAAAAGGTCTACAATTACAGGGCTCCAGATTAACGTTTTTTTTACTTTAGTTAGACCAGGTGCACCAGCATATAATTTAGGTGCACCCAAAAATGTTCAAAAGATTTATAGATGTTTGTACAAACGCACTGTATAAATATATGTTAGGGAAATTTAGGATAAGAATACAAACAGATTCTTGCATGAGGCCCATTGTTCACTGTTACTTAAAGGAAACAGCATACCATTTTTAAGAGTGCAATTTAATAAATTGTAAAATAAAAAATGAAGGTATGGACAAAATGCTAAATGACCCAACCTCTAAATTAAGTTAGAAAATTTGGCGTCAGTCTACTGCATTCCACTCACTATATTCCTCTCATCGACGTCTACTCCCGTCTCCACAATCTTGTGTAGGACCTCTGTGTGCCCACGCTTCACTGCTAGATGCATGGCTGTGTTCTCTTCCTGCAGTCCAGAAATAACAAACAGACACCCATCTTGAGACAACTTCCTCTGCATGTATTCACCAAAACATGTGAAACTGGACTGTTAACACCTTACTGCAGTTTCTTCACACAACAACCTCCTCAGTGTGTTGACTTAACTACTGAATGGATTTCCACAAATCTTGGTGAAAGGATTGGACAGGGTTTTTTTTTCACTTTCCCAGGGAATAATCATTAATCTTGATGAAAACAAAGCAGACATATTTAGGTGACTGATGTGTGAAATTTGTTGTTGCGTGATTGAATTTAAAGGGACTTGGTGGAGTTATATGCTCTAGTGAGTGCCAGTTGAGTGTTCAAAATGTATTCAATTGAATTCATGAATATTTAAT